CATGCACATCACTGGAGCTCCCATGGCTACGACTGTCTGCAAAATACATATTTACAGGCCTGCTAAACCCAGCTAAATATAGGCTTGCCTCTACAGCAACCGATGATTTAAAGAAATTTCTTCTCTGTCCCACTCTTTCCCCCAACCCCCAACACACACATACACACACATGCACGAGCACGTGCACGCGCGTGCGCGCACACACACACACACATGCGCACGCGCCCCAACTCCTCAGTCACCCGCCTGGTCTCCAAGATGCATCTGAACTTTCCCAGAGCCCTGCAGTGCAGTGAAGATGTGGATGGGCGGAAGGAGAGAAACCAGCAAGAACAGGGAGCAAGCGGTCTCCCTGCTGTGAGGGGACCTTGGGCCCTTTTCCCTGCAGGTGCAATGGGGAACCTTCGCTTCAAGAGTGACTCCAGAGCTGGGATATGGCTCGGTGACAGAGCGCTTGCCCAGCATGTGGCGTGTGGCATCTTGGGTTTCATCCCAGCACCATAAAAGAAAAAAAAAAAATCCCAAAGGATTTGGAGGACGTGCAGGGCAGGTAGGCAGAACTGCTTATATTCCAGAATTTCACATAATGAACCCTAAAAGGAAACCAGAGGTCCAAAGTACCCTGAAGGCTGACTCAGAGCTGCAGATACCAGTTTTCATCCTCAGCTGTACCTGCCCACACTCCTGTACATGCGTACGAACCCCTGCATGTTTGGACCCACGCGCAGCCAGAAGCAGCCAGCAGCGCCCCGACTCCCGTGCGCGCTGTGCGTGTCGAACCCACTCAGCCCTTGCAGCAGCATGCCACGGTGGTGTCGTATCTCCATGGCACAGGGGAAGGCGTTTGGCAGAGCTCCTTCACTTAGAAGGAGGATCCAGGGGCTTCTAATTAAAGTGGTCTGGCTTCAGAGTTTGTGTCCCGCCAGGCTTGGTGGGGCACACCTGTAATCTCAGCACTCTGGGAGGATGAAGCAGGAGAACTGCAACTTCAAGCCCCATCTGGGCAATGTATTGACTTAGTGAATAACAGTGATTTTAAAAAGCCTGTGTTCTGCTCTGCTCCATATGGAGTGGGAGACAGACACACAGACTCAGGGACACTCTGACATTCAAGTTGAGCCGGTTGAGGAAATTGAGGCTTAGGCAGGGGAAATGACTGGCCCAAGGGCACACAGAGCTTGGAAACCTGTACCCTGGTCTCTTTCTTCTAAAACTGGCTAAACCACTGCTCAGCCCTTTGTACTGCATTCCCCTGGGGTGGGGTCAGGGGCCCCTCCAACACCGCCACTCAAGGTTGAGCTCTCCTGGAAGTAAGGGTGCCCATGCCCACACCTCCCCAAGTGCCCACAGAAGTCCTGGCATGCAAAGAGAGGGCCCAAAGACTACTGGCTTATCATAGCTTGTCCGAAGGGCAGCGTCTAGACTTGCCTCTGTCCACATGACCTCGGCCACTTCCAGAGGCCGTGTCAAGGCCCCAGGGCCGGGAAGAGAAGCCAGGCTTGGCACCCAGCCTGTGGTACATCAGCCTGCAACCACCATCCTTGCTGTGGCACTCAGCACTTAAAACTGTACAGCCTGGAGCAACGGAGGAACTGTCCCCAAAGAGCACCTTCCCAGGCCTCCCTCATCACCTGGAGTGGGCCCGGGAATCAGGCAGGATGTCTCTGCCCACTGCCGCCTCTGCCTTCCAGCCAGTGCTGGAGAGCGTTTCTTTCCCCACACTCACGGCATGCTCTGGGCTCCAGCCCTCCTGGGCCTCAGTTTCTTCTCTCAGAGCAGAGGGCGTAAGTGACTTGTCCAAGGTCACCTGCCTAGCAACAGTAGAGTCGAGATCTGAACCCTGGCCGATACTCCACCCTCCACGCCAGGGCAATGGAAAGGCCTGCCCAAGGTGATCCTTCCAAGATCACGATGCACCTTGCCTGAGGTCTCTACCAGGGCCCCAGGAAGAGAGAGGGTGCTGAGTTATCTCAGGACTGAGCTGTAGGGAGTAGGTAGGGCATGAAAGGTAGGCAGAAAACAGTCCATGTGGATCTCAGACCTCCCAAACGTAGCCCCGCCTCCATGGGGTCTGGGCTACACACAGACTGGGGGGGGACAGAGGCGTGACACCTGCGTTCACAGCCATGTCACGGGGCAGCTGCTTTGTGCCTCATCTCAGGGAAAGAGGGATGGCAAAGTATTTACCCCTTTCAAGCCGGGCCTGGTGGCACAGGCCTATAATCCCAGCACTCAGCAGAGGCACTTGGCCCGGTACTGTGCCTCAACCAGCACAGGAAGATTGCCATAAATCAGAGGCCAGCCTGGGCTAAGAGTGAGTTCAAGGCCAGCCTAAACTGCAGAGTAAGACCCTGTCTCAAAAACAAACCAAAAAAAAAAGGATTTCTCTCTCCCTAAAATCCTGCTGTGGGTGATGCCTGGCTAAGCCAGGAGCCCGTGCAGTAATAATCCCACTCATTAGCTCCAATCGCCCGAGCTCCAGGCTGGCTCAGCGCCTTTCTACATCTCAGAGCCCGTGAAGGTTTCAGCCTTAGCAATTTCTGGACAAGGCAGACTCTGGCATCCTGATATTCTAGTTCACCCTTAGCTGCTACTGGAGGTCCTGGGATCTCTGGACCTGACAGCTGGCTCTCCAAGCCTCTTCCCACCCTCAGAAGCTGGGGGCTCCCCCACCTGGCCAGCAGCGTGGGCACAGACCCCTTGGGCTGGGACCAGGGAAGATGACTCACCACAGAGGGTGTGGGAGATTCCGGGCAGAACACCCAGGGGCCTGCACCCTCCTGCTATCCACACGAGAGCTTCTGAGGACACTGCCCCGTGGATTCCCAACCCCCAAGGAGGTGCGATTTGGTTTTCTCCCAGCTGCCACAGAGGGCTGGAGTGAGGTTCGAGCCCTAAACTTGAGCTTGGAAACCTAAGTCCCAAACAGTGTCCCTAAGTGAGGCTGCTAAGAAGGATTTGGAGGGGAAGGGTGGGGGACTGGCTTCTTCACTCTGCCACATCCCCAAGTGCAGAACTGGGGAGGGGTAAGTGTCCCGGGAAGCTGGACAGAGAAGGTGGCACTGGACAGCAGAGATCTGGGATCATTTCCGGCTCCAGCTCAGAACCCAAAAGTTCCCTCCCCCTTGGCAGGAATCTGTGGTTCCTGGCCACTCCCCATCCCAATATTCAGGGTTCCCAGGCAGCTTTCCCACACCCCAACCCCCCTCCCCCACATACTCTTCCGCACGTGCTGACCGGTGAGCATCGCCCCAAAACCCACACACACCCCTTTGTGGAGGCTTAGGAGGGCTCTCTTTCCCAGCCTTCCCAGGCCAACAGGGGAAGAGTGGGAGATAAGGAAGAGGAGGAAGAGGATGGTGGGGAGGAGGGCGGGGGAGTCGGCTGAGGCTGCAGGAAGGCCTGAGATGCAGGAAGCAGCTGGGAGTGGGGGGAGGCTTTGTGCCTGAGTTGTTCCCTGGGTCCTAGCGTCCATCTGATTCACCAGTTTCTGGGATCTGCAGAAAAGAGTAACACTTCTGGGCCTGTCCAGAGGGTGGGCCCTCACCCCCCCGGCCCTGACCACTGGGAAGGATAAAGAGTGGCCCCAGCCCCTTGCCGTGTATGTGAGGAACGTCAGGACCGCAAAGCAGCAGAGTTTTCAGGACAGGGCACATGTAAGTGACTGGCACCTCCTGCCACCCTAACACACACACACTGGTACTCAATGGTTGGGTCCTTTAAATCAGAGACCCAAGTTAGAGCTCTCCTGGGGCAACTTTGGCCCCAGGCCTCTAGAAGTCCTCCTCCCAACCCCCTTTTTCCCGTTTGAGAAAGACAAGTGCCCGGGCAGGGAAATCCAGACCAGATTCTACCCCCTCTCCAGTCGGGGTGCAGAGCAGGCTGGCCACAGGACACTCTTCAGACTCCCACAGGGCAGCTTTGGGGATCCCCTGCCACTGTGGGTGGGGGCGGTCTCATACACACACAGGTCCCTGCAAGGCCAGCGATGCTGGGCCAAGGTTTAACACCCACAGTGTTGCAAAAGATGGAAGGGAAGCAGCTTCCCGGCTGCAGGGCAGGCTGGGGCTCTCCTTCAGGAGGCCTGGGAGCGGGCCTAGAAATCTGTATTTTTACCAAGTGCCTGGCAATTGTGAGGCTAAAAGCCCTGAAGCCTAGGAAGGAGCTATAGGGACCTGGAAAGCAATACCCCTTTGCCCCTCCCCACAGAACCGTGGTCCCACTGGGGGAGGAAAGGGGCGGCCCTGAGACCACGGTGGCTGGATGGCCCCCTCCACTGAATGGTCGTGCGCTTAAGTGCGTTGTGACGAGCCACACATCCAGAGGTCGGAGGGCAAGGATCGCAGAGGACTGGCCCAGACCCAGGGGCAGCGGAAGGCTCTCGGCCACCGGCACAGAGGGGCAGGGAGGCCGCGACACGGGGGTGCAGGGGAAGGGGAGGGCCCACAGGCTCCGGCCCCGGAAATCCGATCCCTTTAGGACCCAGAGGTGCCAGTCCCCCAGCGGCGGCGGCGAGAAGGGCAGCCGCTCGGTGTCGGGCAGCCGCCGCGCCGCCGGAGCCAGAGAAAGACCGAGGCCGGGGCGCGGGGGGGAGGGAGGGAGGGAGGGAGGTGCGGCGACGGCCCGGCTGGCCTTGAGCCATGGGCGCCGGGGAGCCGGGCGCCCCGAAAGCCGAGCCCCGCGGCCGAAGCGGGGGGCGCCCGCGTCGCCAGCCCCGGTGACACCGCCTCGGACGATGTAAGCGGGCTGGGCGCGCGGTCCCAGCGGCCCCGGCCGCCGCTTTTCCTATTGGGGTGGGTGGGGGCGACCGCGCCAGGCCGATCGGGGCGGTTTTTTTGGGGGGTGGCTGTCTCCGGCAGCTTGACTGGGGGAGGCGACCCACACTGGGCTCTCGGAGATTTTTTCTTTCTTTCTTTTTTTTTTTTTTTTTAAAAGCAGGGTTAACTGTTATTGGCAGCTGGGTTTCTGGGAGACCCTAAAAAGGCCTTTTGGGGTTTCTTTCTTCCGGGGGAGGGGGCGGTGGTCCCGACTTGGCCCGCCGCCTGCTGGAGGGGCGCAGCGGGGAGCGGGGGGATGCGAGCCCGGCTCCCCCCACCATGATGAAGACGGAGCCGCGGGGGCCCGGGGGTCCCCTCCGGAGCGCCTCCCCGCACCGCAGCGCCTACGAGGCCGGCATCCAGGCGCTGAAGCCGTCCGACGCGCCCGGGCCAGACGAGGCACCCAAGACGGCCCACCATAAGAAATATGGCTCCAACGTCCACCGCATCAAAAGTATGTTCCTGCAGATGGGCACCCCGGCTGGGCCGCCGGGCGAAGCGGGCGGCGGGGCCGGCCTGCCCGAGGCCCCGCGCGCCTCGGACCGCGGTGTGCGCCTGTCGCTGCCGCGGGCCAGCAGCCTGAACGAGAACGTGGACCACAGCGCGCTGCTCAAGCTGGGCACCAGCGTGTCGGAGCGCGTGAGCCGCTTCGACTCCAAGCCCGCGCCCTGCGCTCAGCCCGCGCCGCCGCCACACGCGCCGTCCCGGCTGCAGGAGACGCGGAAGCTGTTTGAGCGCAGCGTCCCCGCGGCCGCGGGGGGCGACAAGGAGGCCGCAGCGCGCCGGCTGCTGAGGCAGGAGCGCGCCGGCCTGCAGGACCGGAAGCTGGACGTCGTGGTGCGCTTTAACGGCAGCACCGAGGCGCTGGATAAGCTGGACACCGACGCCGTGTCGCCCACGGTCAGCCAGCTCAGCGCCGTCTTCGAGAAGGCCGACTCGAGGACCGGCCTCCACCGAGGACCCGGGCTGCCCAGGGCCGCGGCTGCAGGGGTGCCCCCCTTGCACTCCAAGCTGGTCAGCAAGCGGTCCCGCGTGTTCCAGCCGCCGCCGCCGCCAGCACCGCCCGCGCCGTCGGGGGATGCCCCGGCCGAGAAGGAGCGCGGCCCCGGGGGGCACCCGCCCCCACAGCACCGCGTGGCCCCCGCGCGGCCGCCCCCCAAGCCTCGGGAGGTGCGCAAGATCAAGCCGGTGGAGGTGGAGGAGAGCGGGGAGTCGGAGGCCGAGTCGGCGCCCGGGGAGGTGATCCAGGCCGAGGTGACGGTGCACGCGGCACTGGAGAATGGTAGCCCTTCGGCCACCCCAGCCAGCCCCGCGCCCGAGGAGCCCAAGCCCCCCGCAGCCCCGGAGGAGGAGGAAGCGGCGGCTCCGGCGGTGGAAGCCGCGCCAGAGAGAGGGGTGGGCAATGGCCGGGCCCCGGACGTGGCCCAGGAAGAGGTGGATGAGTCCAAGAAGGAGGACTTCTCGGAGGCGGACTTGGTGGATGTGAGCGCCTATAGTGGGCTTGGGGAAGACTCCGGGGGGAGTGCCCTGGAGGAGGACGAAGACGAAGACGAGGAGGACGGAGAGCCCCCCTACGAGCCCGAGTCGGGGTGCGTGGAGATCCCGGGGCTCTCGGAAGAAGAAGACCCGGCCCCGAGCCGAAAGATCCATTTCAGCACCGCACCGATCCAAGTGAGTGAGCCCCCTCCCCCCGCCGCCACGTGCGCGCGGCCACCCCCACCTCGCCTCCCCAGCAGGCCGGGTTTGGCAGGCTGACTCAGCCCCTGCCACCCAGCCCCCTTCCCAGAAGTCCTCTCCCTAGGGGGGCGTGGGGGAGTTCCAGCTGTTTGTCAGAGGGACACAGCTTTCAAGTCTGGGGCAGGATTGGCCGGCCCGGACCTGCCCTCAGGTTCCCCCGCGGCGCCCCGCCCCGTCTAGCACCCACCCAGCCCGGGACACCTGCGTTCCCTTCCTCTCCAGGCTCTACTTCCTCTGCCTGCCAGAGCCTGGGGCTGGGGCGGTGTGACGGGATGTGGGTGTCCGCGGGAGACTCTCTTCCTTACATCCTGCACCCCTGGGAGGAGAGAGGTCAGGGGCTTAGAAATGCTCTTTCCCATGTGAGGGAGCCAGGAACTTCCCGAAATAAAAGTGTAGGGGACTCGATGGTGGCCCCCCACCTTCACTTTGAAGAAGTGAAAGAAGGAAGCAGTCACATGGCCATGTGACTGGGGCCTTGGTCCCTAGGGTCTGTGCTGGGCCGGCTTTCCGGGTCCCCATTGCACAGGGAGAGGACACTTGGTGTGACCCTGGAGGGAGAAGGCCTTCTGCAGGCCGCGGCAGAGAAGGGGGTGGGGCCAGGCCATCCCCCACAGTGGCTGGCAGAGACCTGCATGCCTTTGCCCTACCGGACACACTCCCTTGGCCTTGGCAGGTCCCAAGTGTGCTGTCACATCCTCTGGGTACCCTGAAAGAAGGTGAGAGCTTCCCCTTTTGGGGAGGTCTCAGTTTCCCTCCACCCCCCAACCACCCTTATTGGTGATTGGTTTGTGGCTGTGCCTTGTGCTTTGAGATACCCGGAACTCTGAGGGGTGTCCCCTGGGGAGAATTAAGAGCCCAAGGCCACCCCCACTTCCCTCTGCTGTCCACTTTCAACTAGTTCATTCAGCCTGGATGGCTGTCTCTCACCACCCCAGGCCCTGCTCTGCCAACCCCAGGGTGAAAGCGTCCGGGGCCTGGGACTTTCCTTGGCCTGTGCCCTGCCTGGCCAAACCCTGTTTGCTTGCCGTTTCCATAACTACTGCACAGGAGCCAGCTCCCACCTCCCAGCTGGGCGAGAGGCCTAACTAAAGGTTACCAGGGTGGCTGCTGCTCCCCTCCCAGGCCAGCCCCTGCCCTGGCTGGGATCTTGAGACCCCTTTCCATCCCCTGTCCTCTCTGTCTTCCAGGAAGGAAGTCAGGATCTGCCCCCCCCCACGCCACCCCCAGGCTTCTGAAAAGCCCGATGGCCTCAGATGAGCATGGCTTGGGCTTCCGACTGTCTATATCAGACACCTTACCCTGACTTTTCAGTAAAAAATAGCACATGATTTGGAGCAGAGCTTCCTGACTCCCTGGTGACTGAAGCTGGCTGCCCATCCGAGAGCCAGGGCGCATGTGCAGGCTCAGTGACTTCTGGCCTTGCTGAGGATTTCCTCCCCACCCTGGTGCAGAAACCCCTTATTTTCTTCTCTCTGGTCTCAGGCTGGCACTGATACTGAGTCCAGGGTCTCTGCCCCTTAGATGACCCAGTTGTTCCCCTTATGGGGGTAGGGGCTTCCTTGGAGGGCACAGAACCCTGCTCCAGACTGTCATGGGGTTGGGGCAGGACTGGGCGCAGGGCCCTTGGATACAGAGGTGATAGGTGGTCTGGGGTCTTCTCCCAGCTGGGGATTCCTGCAGCGGGCAGGATATGAAAGGAGTACAAGAGCTGATAGGCTCAGGAAAGAGGGGAGGGAAAGGCCAGGACAGGCTGCAGGGTTCCTGGAGGTCACAGGGTGTGTATCTGCGTGTGGACCAGAGGAGGGTGGTTGACCAAGAGAAGGATGGGGACCCACTTTCCTGGGCCCCTGTTAAGTCAGGGGCCTCCAATAAAAAAGTGGGCCAAAGCCGACTTGATGTGTCCAGGCCTACAGCAGCCCCTGGGGCACCTTGCATTGGGGACAAAGTCACCACCAGAGCCAGCCCAAGCGGGGTGCACTGCCATCCTGTCCTACCACTGGCTGACCCTTGTGACCTTGGGCAGTGCACTGGTGTCTCAGATTGTTCGTGGGGTGGGCAACCCATTCCTCCGAGGAGCTGCTGGGCAGATGTTGGGAGAACTGTCCAGGGACCACTGCGTGGTGGCCAGAGGGACTCTGCGGGCCTGAGCCTGGGCATCCTGATGCTGTGACATTGAGGGCACTGAGCTCAGTGACCACACGGGCCTATCCCCGCCCTGCCTCCTGTCCGTTTTCCGAGCAGCCCTCCCCGTCACCATGGCTCTGTGCCGGGGGTGGGGGTGACGGGTGACACAGGACAAAGGCTGGGATGCAGAGTGCCCAGGAGCCTTGCTTCTGGAGCGCAGGGGCTCTGGCAGGGGCCGTGGGGGAGACAGCGTCCCAGTCCAGCCCCGCAGCTCCAGGGCAGCCAGCTGACAGTGCCGCTCGCCCCCGCTTGGCTCCAAGTGCCGCCAACCTGTCGCTGCAGGCGGCAAAGCCAGAGGAGCCCTGGTACCCCAGGTGGTGTTCATGAACCTCCCACAGGGGCGCCCCCTCAGGCCCAGCATCAGGGGCTGCTTCTCCACGACTGTCCTTTGAAGGGGCGGGAGCAGAGAATGCCAGTGGCGTAAAGTCCAGCAGGAGGGAGGCAGCAGGAGGGCAGAGGGGATGATGTGGCGGGGCGGAGGGTGCTACCTCCCTAGTCTGTGGGCCCCCAGGGGTGGGTCCTGTGGCCTGCCTGGGCCTCCAAGTGCCTGGGGAGAGGAGACGAAACTCCGGGTGGTGCCCAGCTGCAGGGCATGGCCTGGGCATGGGGCCTGATGGGCACCTGGACGCGGAGTGCCTGTCCTCCATGGTGGTGCGCAGGTCCTTCCTGTTCCCTCCCCTGGCCTCAGTGTCCACTCAGTGAGGACAGGGGGCATCCTGGGACCTCTTGCCTCTCTCCATCCCTCTGTCCTCTCCCCTCCCCCTCCCCATCTGGCGCCCGCTGGCGTCCTCTGCACCCTTCCTCCCCCCTCCTCTTCCCCTCTCCTGCTCAGCCTGTTCCCCTCTGCGTCTGCGTCTTGTGTCCACCCTCGCCTGGCTGGCTCTTGGGTCCTGTGTCTCGCTCTCTCTCTGCCCTGGATGCCCTTCAGGAGCACGCGGGCCATCCTGCCCGGCCTGTGCCGCGCTGCGCAGGTGGGAGCCACCCTGTGGATCCGAAGGCCGGGTCCCCTTCTCTCTTGTCCCTCAGGCTGCAGAACTAGGAGGCCTTTACAGTGTTGTGGGGGGCTGTCTGGGCAGGGACAGGGTCTGTGGCAGGAGGGGTGGGGCACTGGGGGCACGAGGCTGCCCCCCTGGCCTCTGACACGCCACCCTCCCTAGGTGTTTAGCACCTACTCCAACGAGGACTACGACCGGCGCAACGAGGATGTGGATCCCATGGCCGCGTCCGCCGAGTACGAGCTGGAGAAGCGGGTAGAGAGGTTGGAGCTGTTCCCTGTGGAGCTGGAGAAGGGTGAGAGGCTACACGGGCACACTGGGCTCTGCCCTGGACCCTCGGGGGGTTCCCCAGGACGTGCTGGGTCCCCCACCCCATCAGCTCCCACCGCAACTGTGCACCCCGGCCAAGCCCCAGCGCAAAGGCACCACCTGGTCCGCCACAGGACTGTTACCTCGTCTCGGGGCGCTGTGGAGCAGGTCCTGGGCTCTGAGATGTGGCGGGCACAATCAGGCTCCCGTGGGAGCAGACCGGAAGGGCAGCCCCTAGCGCTGTGCCTGATGTGCCATAGCGACATTTAACAGGAGCTGCCCAGACTGGGCGGGGGTCCCCAGGAGGGGGCAGGAGGAATCGGGGGGGGGGGGGGGCTGAAGATGGAGGAAAGGCGCTGGAAGGGTGTGCGAGCAGGGCCAGGAGCCCAGGGCAAGGACACAGCCTGCTTCTCTGAGGTGGCTTGGAGCCATCGCTAGGGCTGGAGGGAGAGGTACACAAGAAAGACCGCAGCAGGCTGTGGGGGCAGAGGCCACCATGGTGTGGGCTGGTGGTGGGCCTGGGAGGTAGAGTCAAAGGACCTGGGCACTTGGACCTGGGTGGAGGCTGTGAGCGGCAGGGAGGAATCCAGGTACCTCCCAGGCCTGGCAGCTGCCGGAGGGTGGTGCCAGCCCTCAGGAGAGAGCGCAACCCGGAAGTCTGGCTGGCCAAGAGGGGCCGGGCCATGTGGCTGGGGAGTGGGATTGAGGGGGTGGCCAGCACCAGCTCCTTGGTCGGGGAGGCTCTGGGCGTAGGTGAGGTAGACCAGAAGGCTCGGTCCAGGTCCTGTCAGGGCCCCCGTGCCACCTGTCTGCATATACTCCTGCTGCCCGGGCCCCTCCCTGCCCGACAGCTCCCGGGATGAGGCGAGGTGCAGGGGGTGGACAGAACCGTGCCCCTTTCTAGTGTTGGGGGACATCCGCAGAGCTTGGGGACAGCCTCCTGAAGGGGAGCTGTGCTCTAGAATGGGGGTTCAGGTTGAGGGACATTCAGTCAGCGCTGGCATTTGCCCCTCTGCCCCGCAGACTCCGAGGGCCTGGGCATCAGCATCATCGGCATGGGCGCCGGGGCCGACATGGGACTGGAGAAGCTGGGAATTTTCGTCAAGACCGTGACCGAGGGCGGCGCTGCCCACCGGGATGGCAGGTACCACCCCACTCACCCATCTGCGGGGCGGCTGCTGGGAGGGGATGGGGAAGTCTGTGACCTGCAGGTGTTCCTGGGTCGGGCGGGGCGTGAAGGAGCCCCCTCCTGCGTGTGTTCCGGGAGAGGGGGCTGAGGCGGGGCGCACACGGTGTGGGGTGCGTTGGTCCCTCGGGCAGAGCGCGGCCGTGTGTCCCGAGCATGTCTGAACACTGAGCGTCTGACTCACTGGCTGGGGCCAGGCGCCAGGCAGGCAGTGTCCAGGCCTTGCCCTCAGCAAGCCAGCAGTGCTGCGAGCTAGACAGACACGAGACAAGGACACAAGGGACCGGGACACGTACAGAAGGCACCCGCAGGAGGCCTGGGTCTGGGGCACAGGAGCTTCCTAGGGGAATGATGCCGGAGCTGGGCCCTGATGGCTGAGTAGGAGTTAGTGAGGTGGAAGTGTGGGGAGCCAGGAAGCTGGGGGGCTGGGAGCCCAGAGAGGCCGGCCTGGGACGCCCTGGAGCTGGCTGGCCTTGTTGAGCAGCTGTGCCTGGAGGGCCGATGTCAGGGAGGATGTCCTGGGGCTGGGGCCAGCCTCATGACCTCTGGGAGGTGTGTGTTCCCTGGGACAGGGCCAGAGGTGCGGAGGGCTGTCAGCCAGCCCCAGGAGTGTGTGTGGCATGCTTCGGGATGTGGCCTCCGTATCGGCTCCTCTCCAGCTGACCGAGAGCAGTAGGTGTGTGTGAGGGCTGGCCACTGCGGTCCTGCAGTTAGAGGCCTGCTTGGCCCTGTTCGGGGGGCTTCTCCCTGTTGTAGCCCAGGTGGCATGGAGGGCGGCTGTGGACAGAAAGGGTGACGGCCCCTGCTCTTTCACTTGTGCCTGCCCCTTGCCAACAGTGCACTCCAGGGCCCATCTCACCGTCACCTGTGGGTAGTTTGGGGAGTGCCCACGTGGGACAGCCACTGGCGACAGGCCTCACCTTCCCAGGGCCCCTCCCTTCGTCATCTCTTCTGTGGTCCAGACTGGGCCACCCTCTCCTCTCCCCCCGGGTGGAGGACGGGGCTCCAGGTGCCATCGCTGGGGGCAGGGGTGCACCCCTGTCAGCATGTGGGTCTGTGTGTGAGTGCAAGAGGCACTCCTCCGGTCTCAGGCATTTGGGGACTTGGGTGTGGGCCGGAATGTCCTTGCACGAGGACAGCCTGGTGCATGTGTTCGTGGCAGAGGTGAGTGCCCAGGATGTCATGCCAACTGTGTGGTGTGGTGGAGGAGGGCACACGAGTGTGACTGTCACGTGAATGCACCGCCCCCCTCCCAGTCCTGGCGGCCTGTGTCTGCGAGGCTGGTCTGGCTTTTCTGTCCACAGAGGGGCCCGGCTGATGCCTAACCGTGTAGGCAGGCAGACAAAGGACCAGGTCCCTGTGGGGTCTGAGCCTGGCTCGCATTTCTAGTGGGAGGGGCGCCCCCATGACCCCCTTAACCAGAGCCCCCTCCTGTAGGATCCAGGTGAACGATCTCCTGGTGGAGGTGGACGGAACGAGTCTGGTGGGAGTGACACAGAGCTTCGCAGCTTCAGTGCTCAGGAACACCAAGGGCCGAGTGAGGTGAGAGTCCAGGGCCGGGCGCTGTGTGTGTGTGTGTGTGTGTGTGTGTGTGTGTGTGTGGCTCTGCCACCTGCCACATCCGGTGCCTGGGCCATCCCCAGCTCCCCGGCACGCTGGTGCTGGCCACCACTGCACGGGCATGCAGGACATCCCTGTCCCTGCAGAGTCCCCTTGGCTCTATTCTGGCTTCCTCCCTAAGAACCAGGAAGTGCTGGGCAAACGCCACCAAATTGGGCTCCCTCACCCAGAACGTGCCCCTCCCTTCTGGGAGGACTCCTGGGGCCCCGAAACTTTGAGCGTGGTCTTCAGAGCCCCCTGTTGCCCTCCTACCGGGAGCTTCGTGTTTAGAGCTCATTCCCTGCCCCACTCCAAGAGGGGCACTGCCCCCAGGAAAGGGTGGTGGAGAGAAACAGGATGTGGGTGGCCACGGGGAGGAGGGGCTGCAGCCTGCAAGTTCCACTATTTCCGCTTCATCCTAATCGCCAGTCACCATCGTCCCGCCCCTTCCTGAGCTCAGGGGGCGGGGCACAAACCCAAGACAGCCCCCGCCCCCCAGCGCTGCCCCTCGTCCTCTTTGCTGTTCCCCTGCCTCGTTTTCTCCCCTGTGGGGGGAAGAGCTCCCTGCACTGCGGCTGCTCCACAGCCCATGCCCTCGGCATCCCAGCCCAAAGTTTGGTTGACATCCAGCTCCCCAAACTGGTCAGGAGGGCTGGGGGGCCTTGCAGCCTCCCCTGGGAAGGAAACCCAGTAAGCACCCAGCACCCCATTCATTATTAACACTGCTGCCTCTTGATCAGCATCTCATCTCCCCTCCCCTGGGAGACCTGGGTTTGGAGAGGGCAGCACCAGCGGGGACCATGGTGGCATTCCCAGCTGAGGACAGGCAGGGGATGACGCTGGTGCCCCTGCAGGTTTATGATTGGCCGGGAGCGGCCGGGCGAGCAGAGTGAAGTGGCCCAGCTGATCCAGCAGACTCTGGAACAGGAGCGATGGCAGCGGGAAATGATGGAGCAGAGATACGCCCAGTACGGGGAGGACGACGAGGAGGTAGGGACTCGGACGCAGTCGCCCTCTGGTGGTTACATGAGGTAGTACAGCCTCTGGTGGAGTCGTCACTGGCGAGGTTTCCTGGTGTCAGGGTAGGTGTCTTACGGGGGAGCTGCCCCTGCCTTGAGGGGACTTCCCAGCTCCTGGCCAGACAGTTGCTGCCCTCAGCCCTGGTCAGGGGGCCCACACCCTTGTGCCCCTTCACAGACGGGGGAGTATGCCACCGACGAGGACGAGGAGCTGAGCCCCACCTTCCCAGGCGGTGAGATGGCCATCGAGGTGTTCGAGCTGGCAGAGAACGAGGACGCGCTGTCCCCTGTGGACATGGAGCCCGAGAAGCTGGTGCACAAGTTCAAGGAGGTGGGAGGAGGGCCTGGGGTGGGGGGTGATGGTGGGCAGGGGCTGCCCTGCAGGAGCTGAACGCCACCCTTTGCCTACAGCTCCAGATCAAACACGCTGTGACCGAGGCGGAGATCCAGCAGCTAAAAAGGAAGGTGAGGGCGTGTGTGTGTGCGCGTGTGTGTGTGCGCGTGTGTGTGTGTGCGTGTGTGTGTGTTGAGGCTGGGGACCAAGGGCAGGAGAGGCACAGGCACCCACTGAGCAGGCTGCCGGGAGGGAGGGGCCGCAGCAAGAAGAGCTCAGCTCTGGAACCCTGTGCTCTGCTGTGGCTGGCCTCGGTCCCCTGCAGGTGGAAATACTACCAGCCTTGTGAGGATTTGGTGAGAGAGGGCCTGTAAATCCGTACCACAGTGCCTGACAGAGTAGGCCCTCAGTCTGAAGGCAGAGCACGGCTGGGTGTGGGTGCACGCTTGTCATTCCATCACTGTCGAGACAGGAGGGTTGCAGATTCAAGCCGAGCCCAGACAACTTAGAGACCTAGGGAGACCCTGACTCAAAATAAAATAAAAAATGGGCTCAGGGTGAAGGCTGTGGGTTCAGTCCCCAGTACTGTTAAATACAACAACCAAAAACTCAAGAATGTTAGCTGGACACTGTGCACACACCATAATCCCAGCTACTTGGGAGCAGAGCGAGGATCACAAGTTCAAGACCCTCCTGGGCGCTGGGCGTGGTGGTGCACGCCTGTAATCCCAGCACTCGGGAGACTGAGGCAGGAGGGTTGTTGGGAGTTAGAGACCAGCCTGGGCTCCAAAGTGAGCTCAAGGCCAGCCTGAACTGCATAGTGAGACCCTGTCTCAAAAAGACAAAAAAAAAAAAAAGAAAGAAAGACCTTCCTGGGCAACTTAGCAAGACCTTGTCTCAAAATAAAAAGGGCTGCGGATGGAGATCCATGGTAGAGCGCCTGCCTAGCACATGCAAGGCCTAGGCCAGTACTGGAAGTAAAAAGCGCATTAGCTATAGCTGTGAAGCACCCTAGGCCACACCCTAGATGGCTGTGTCTGCGCTGCCCCGCACACGTCCTCTTTGAGAGCCCTGTGATAAATGGGAACTGCCCCAAGGCGGACACCCACACCCACAGGGACACTGCCCCTGCACACCCTGTGACATTCCTCCTGGGGCATCAGCCTGGATACCCAGGCCTGCCTCCCCGGGTGCTCTGGGACATGGGTGTGGCCATCTCTCAGACTGCCGTACCTTGGAAGAGTGTCACAGGCACGGTGATGGCAAAAGCAGCCGATCCTTCTCCTTGTGGAGCTTAAGAGTCTATACACTGCTAACTGCCAATGCAAGCAGGGGACTCTAGGAGAGACGGTGTCAGTGAATCCCTATAGCAGAGGGGCCCAACCCAGCTTGGGGGTGGGTGCTGCGTACTGGAGTCATGGGGGGCTTCTCTCAAGAAGTGACATGCTGAGAAGAGGAGCGGGTGGAGCAGCTAGGTAAGAGGGGGGCTAGACAGGACCTTGGCAGCAGAGGGGCAGCACGTGCAAAGGTCCAGTGGGAAGCTCTGTGTGGTCAGGGGATATGGAACAAGGGGTATTCATAGCAAATAAGGTGTCAGGGGCTGCTAGATGGTGGCTCCTAAAACATGAGCATGCTGAGAAAGGAGGCATCAGCTTGTGAGGAGGAGCAGGAAGGAATGCAGGTTTGAGGCCTGGCGCCCGTGAGGAGGTGGGAGGTAGGGCTGGAGGCCGGGAGTGAGGCTGGGCTGGAGCTCGGGATCTGGGGCTCAGGGCACGGGGTCGTGTGGTCCTGCCACATGCAGAAGTGTGGAGAGAACAGGGATCCAGACGGAATGGTTGGGGACTGGAGGTCCCCTAGGAACTGCAGAGGGGCCGGATTGTTGAAGAGCCTCAGCAGCAGGGCCTGGGCAGCAGGCGAGGGCTGAGAGGACAGCAGTGATGACCCTGCCCCTCCCCATGCCCCGCTCCTCCACATCTGCATCTCACAGCCCTGGTGTGCTTGGGAGGCAGGTGTCGCTCAGGTTTTATGGAGATGGGGGTTCCCTGTCCCCTGTGCCAGAGGTGGTCCTGCCCTGGGTGTGGCGTGGGTGCAGGAACCAGGAGCCCTAACTGGGAGCCCTCAGGCTGGGGTAGTCGGGGCGGGCAGTGGGCTCCCCCTCTGCAGGAATCCCCCCAACCCAGTGCCACCCCCTCCTCAGCTTCAGAGCCTGGAGCAGGAAAAGGGGCGCTGGCGGGTGGAGAAGGCGCAGCTGGAGCAGAGCGTGGAGGAGAACAAGGAGCGCATGGAGAAGCTGGAGGGCTACTGGGGCGAGGCCCAGAGCCTGTGCCAGGCCGTGGATGAGCACCTGCGGGAGACGCAGGCCCAGTACCAGGCCCTGGAGCGGAAATACAGCAAGGCCAAGCGCCTCATCAAGGATTACCAGCAGAAGTACGTGGCAGGGCTGCGTGGCTCCCAGCGGAGCACAGAGGTTGGCGGGCCCCAGGGTGGGGTGCTGGGGCCTGCTTGGTAGGCGCCAGAGCCAGCACCAAGCCAGACCTCAGAGGCCTCAGGGAAACCCCGGGGCCTCCAGAACTGGCCCGGTGGAGCTGAGCTGAGGACGGTGCTGAGGACCCTGAGTGCCCCCCATGGAAGCCTGACTGTACTGTCCGACCCACTGTCTGCCTTGCCCGTCCCAGGGAGATCGAGTTCCTGAAGAAGGAGACCGCACAGCGGCGGGTGCTGGAGGAGTCGGAGCTGGCCCGGAAGGAGGAAATGGACAAACTCCTGGACAAGGTGGGATCAGGGGACTGCGGGTCAGGGCCCATCCTTGGCGAGCACCACCCGTGGGACCCTGGGGTGATTCATCCTCGCCTAGGCGGGAAGAGGGGCAGGGCCCGTGTTGTTCCCCGGGGCCTGAGACCCTGCTTCCCCAACTTTGTTTTCCAGATCTCAGAACTGGAAGGCAACCTGCAAACACTGAGGAATTCCAACTCTACTTAACAGGAGTCATTCCTTGACTGGACAATAATAATCCCCTCCCACTGTCCCTGCTCCCCTGTCCCCAATATCCTCCCCGCCCCCTACCAGCCTGGGGACAGGTGCCCCGACTCCCCCACCCCTCCGCCCCACCTCCTCCAGCTTCAGGGACCAGAGGGCCCATTTCACAGGCCCCCTCTCGGTGGCCCAGGCAGACAGCGGTGGCTGGAAGGGCGGCCTCCTATTCGCCCTGTGGGGCTGAGGCACAAGGGCTGAGGGAAGCCAAGGGCTGGCCTGGGTGGCGGATGGACACAAGGACCTGCAGACCAAACTGCCAGACTCTACAACCTCCAGCCTTCGTCTCTGGACTGGAGTGGGGCTGGGGCTCCCCCGGCATCTCACCAACTGGAGGCTGCTCCCTGCCTGTGGGGCTCCTGGGTGGCCCCTGGGTCTCTTGACTTGAGATTCTACCTTCGTGGCCCTCCCTGTCCGCATCATCGTGCTGTCTGTCGCGTTCCCACCCTCCCTCTTGGGGGGTTGCCTCGACACCTCCTGTCCCTGCTCCCTATCCCGGGAGGGATAGAGTCCCCCCCACAGCCCGGAGGCTGGGCCTGGCCCTGCACTGACCTCCCCTGGATCCTTCTGGAAACGGGGTGAGAGTAGGGAAAGGGGAGAGTCCAGGACACCTGGTCCCCAGCTCCCTCCTGGCAAGGGCGGCCGCCCTGACTCCCGACTCCCTGTGCCTCTCCTTGCCCAGGTGCCAAATAGCCATAACCTCCTCCTCCTGGAACTGCTCCCGCCTCTGGGGCCCGGGGGTCCTGGCTGAGCCTGGGAATGCCCGGGAGGAAAGGGGGTCAGCTTGGGGGCCTGGTCCTTGGCAGTGGCCACTTTTCTCGTTGGAGAGCCAGACCCGCCCCGCCTGCCCTGCCCTGCCCTGCCCTCCCAGGGCCACATCTGGAAGCCTTGAGCGAACATCACAGAGATTCAGCCTCAACCGACCTTCAACCCCCACCGGTTTCCCATATTTTGACTGGAGGGCAAAATTTTACTACTTCTCATCTTTTTGGAGACCAGGGCTGCCCCCTGGTGGCAGCCTGCTTTCTAAGTGAAACCGACTCCCCCATTTTAATCCCAAATTAGGGCTTGGACCAAGGGAGGTAAGACACACCCCCCTCCCCTATAAAATCCATTTTTGCCACTTCCTCTCGCCTCTGCCCTGAGCCTGGGTTTTGGTTCATTTTTTAAAAAAATCTACCCTGTTCCATTCGTTTCAGCTTCTCCTTGTCCCCTGTAAATTCGACATGCCATCGATCAGTATTGCCCGTCCCTCGCCCCCTTCCTCCCCCCCCCCCCCCCGCCCCAAAGTGCTGGCTGTCTCGGTGCCCCGCCCATGCGCTTTGCCCGGGCAGATGGAGGGGCGGGGTCGCGGGCGCTTCCGGCTTCCCGGCTCGCGGCTGCCCCTGCCCCGCCCTTGGAGGACCCAGTCTCTGTATATAATATATATATGTATGTATTGTTCCCGGTTTTGTACGGACCATGCCCTCTGTCAGGTCGTCCCCATAAATGCAGCCCCAGAGCTTGGATGCCTGGTTTCTTGATTCACTGGAGCGGGAGGGCTTAAGGCTACCTGACCCTGAGCTATTCCTGTAGGGTCCTAAGAGGTTTTAAGCAGATCTTGCCCCCACCTCATGCCAGCCGTTCTGGCTGCTGCCCCACCAGCCCCAGCACTGAAGGGTCTGGGGTGATGCCAGCGCTCAGGACCAGCTCTGCTGGGTCGGAGAGGTCAGGCTTAGGGAGCGCAGGAGCTTCCAGCAGTGCCTAGGTGCCGGGTGCACACTCAGGACTGAGGTGAGGTTGGGTCCTGTGGCTCTGCCCCAAGTGAATGCTTGCCTTCCCCTCCCTTTGCCTTAAGGATCCAAAGTCCCAGTCTCAGGACCTCTCAGGGTCATCCTGGCTTCCGGACACCCCAAGATGAATGGCCTCTACCCCAACTGCGCGGACAGCTGAGGCTGCACTCCCTTGGGGCTGATTCTTTCACACTGGTCACTTTCCTCCCAGGCCAAAGTCTGGCTTCCGGTACCCCCACCCTAGATCTACACCTCAGGGTCATGTGGGACCGGTTCAGTTCTGCCATGCGCCTGAGACTCACCTGGGGACAGTGACCATGCTTCTCAGGGCATCTCCTGCCAGTGGATCATGCTTGGAGTGTTTGGGAGCGCCAAAGACAGATCCAGGTGCTGAACCCATGATCACAGGCCACCAATCTACAGCATTAGGGGGCCGAGAAGTGGCTCAGGTGGGCCTTGCTGAGCGGGGAGGCAGACAAGAACTGAGGTCTTCTGCCGCCATGCAGGCAGAGTTGTCCCCAGCTGTCCTGTACCCTAGGGGAGAGGCCTTGCACACGTTCTGAAAGATGGGCCAAGTAGCCCCTCGTGCCTAAGCCTGAGTGTGCTGGTGGCTGGGGATGCTGGGTGTTTCTCAGTCCTGTGTGGAGCTTGTCACTTTGGCTTCCCTGTCCCATCCCAGTCCCCGTCCCTGTCCCCTACCCAGGTCACCTGGAATGCTGTAGCTCTCAGGGGCTTGAGCAGGTTTCCCACAAACCCACACTTGCCTTAGGGGACAGGAATCAGATAATGGGGATTTTTAAGCTGCCAGGACCTTAGGTCTCTAGGAACAGGGGTCTTTCCAAGTCCTGTGGTCTAGCAGACATCCTACCCCCCACACACAGCCCTCCCCTGCCTGTCACGTCTTTACATTGAATCACCCCCTTACATTGAATCACCCCCAACCCCTTGGGATCTACAGGGCTACAGAATCAATTCCCCATTCCAGCCCACACCTGTCTCAGCAGATGCCTGCAAACCACATCCTCTTTTTAAAACATTTATATGTGGTACTGGGGGTTGAATCCAGGGCCACACACATGCAAATGCCAGGCAAGTGCTCTACCACAGAGCTACACCTTCAGCCTTCTCTTCAAAGTTTTATTTTGGGACAAGATCTGAGTATGTTGCCCCGACTGGGTTCAAACTTGCCATCCTGCCTCAGACACTGGGATTACAGGTGATGCCGCCACATCCGGCAAACCCTATCACCTTGAAAGACTCCACACAACCTTACATGTTGCCACCAACCTGTCCCTAGGACGCCAGTCTAGCCAGAACCCCTTGCCTGTCTGCAGACACCCACCCCCCAATCTCACAGGTCTCTTGCGGTACCCTCAGCCCCTGAGGCTGTTAATTCTGTCTTCACCTACAGTCCCAGGGTCCCCCTTGCTCAATATGCCACTTTCCACAGCCCTTGGCCTGCAGACACTAGGTAAGCTGGGAAGTGCTTGGGGGAGCGAGGCGTGCCCCCTGCCAGCCCTGCCAGCCCTGCCAGAGGGTAGCTGGCTGTTGGTGATGACATTATCGCCCCTGGCTGGCCTGCCACCAGGTCCAAGTCTGAGCTCATCCATCCCCACCCCCACTCAGCTCCTGGGCTCCCTGCATCCAGCCAAGGCCCACTTCCACCCTGGACCTCCCTTCTCTCTCAGCTCTCTGTGCAGCCGGCCCCCGCATCCTGTCCGTTTGTTCAGTCCTACATCTTGCATAGTTCTCGGTCTGATCTCCAGTCTCGTGCTCCCTGAGATCCTCTCTCAGCCTCCTGAGGGGGCTCCCTGCTTCTGGCCTGCGCCGCGCACGCAATCTGTTCCCCAGTGAGGAGACCCAAGTTCTTCCTAAATGCAGGTCCAAGCACCTCCCTCCGCCGGTAAACTTTTTATTTTAACGCCACCACCCCACCTCACCCCCACCCCCGCCACCGTTGGTAAAGTACTGCAAACCTGGTCGGCACCTCCCCAGCCTCAGCTCTTCTCTGGTTCTCTCATCCGCAAGACTAAGGTCAGGGTCAGGGGAGCCACGCATGACCTTTACAAATTTTTCCTGTCCCCAGCCCTAGGCCGGGCCAGGAGCCCTCCCAGCGAAGCGTCCCGTGGGAATCAGGGCCCCCTAGTTGTCTGCACCCTCCCCCGACCGTCCGCCGCAGTCCTCTACATCTCCGGCACCAGAGCTGGCGTCTCCGTGCATGTTTGTTGAGTGAATGAATCAACAGACCCTCCCAGATCCTGCAAAGGCGGAAGGTCGTGGGTGCCAGGGTGGTGCGGCCTGCTCCCGTCCCCCCACCCACCTCGCGCAGACGCGGGGGCACAGCGTCCCCCGCGGTCCCACAAGTAGCTGCGACTCGGGTCCCGGCCGGCCCCGGGCCCTCCGCCCCCGCCCCTCCCTTCCCGCCCTCCCCTCTCCTCCCCTCCCCTCGCTCTTTGTCTCCGGGGCGCTCCGTCTCCCCGCTGCGGCCCCTGTACCGAACCGGGGACCCCCGCAGACCCACTAACTGGACGCTGCGCGCATCCGCCTGGCGGGCGGGGACGGCGGGGCGGGGCGGGGCGGGAGGTGGCGCTCGCGTGCTCCCGCTCGCTGTTGCACACACACGCGCACCCGCACACACGCGCACACACAAGCGCGCACGCACGCACGCACCGAGCATCCTCCCGTCAGGTCTCCCGGTCCAGCCCCGCCCGCGCCTCCTGCTTCCTTCCCGCAAACCCTCGCCCTCCGTCCCCGGCCGGGGCCCGCGCTCCCTTCCTTCGCGCTCCGCGCCGG